TCGTTATTTTGTGAATGAGCAAGATCACTGAAAATTAACAACAAATAGCTTAATCAAAAGGGGAAATGGAGAAACTTCATTGATCAAATGAGAAGGGAGAAAACTTTTAATAAATTTATGATCTTAACCATCCATTATGTTTAACCATCCATAATGACATGGATAGGTTATAATTAAAAAATCTCAATCAATGGATCAAAGTATAGGCCAGCAAACCAAAAAGATAGAAGAAAATTTGGCAAATAAACCTTCTACTTCAAAACAAATTGCACCTGCTACAGAAAAAGAGAAACTTAACCAAAACCTGTCATTTTTCTTTCAAATAAAACCTTCAAATTAGGGCCAACTCTTAAAGAAAAGAATGAGTTCTATGAAGAATTAGTCACCAGGCTTGCTTCCCTTAAAATTAGTGATAAGAGTAAAGAGAAAGTGCTTGCTGCTAAAGAAATGTTCAAAAATCAGTACTGATGAAATTCTTAAACTTTGAAGATATCAGTACTGATGAAATTCTTAAACTTAAAGAAATGTTCAAAAATCTTGACCAGGTTGATAGAGTAAGCTATGGAACAAAAACAAGGCCTACTGCTACTTCAAAAATGTATTATCCCCGTCCTTCTCCTGTCCACCTTCAATATAAAGATGATATATTTTCCAATGCAGTATAGTATGATGGGAGATTTATTGTTGAATGGAATATTGATGCTCTTTCAGAATATCAATAAATGAATTTGATCAAACATATGGTAATGTATGCTGAAGCTTCTGCCAATCATTGTAATAGAGATCCCGACATCATGAAATCCATAGTCAACGGGTTTACAAGGCAATTAAAAGGATGGTGGGACTTCTATTCACGAGAAGATAAAAAAAAATACTATCCTTAATGCTAAAAAACAAACTTTTACCACTGTCTACAATCAAGGTATTAAACAAGAAATACCCTCTAAACAAGATGATTGTGTCAACACTCTAATTTACACCATCGCTCTACATTTTATAGGGGATACGTTTGTTTGGAATGTGCGAACCAGGGAACTCTTAGAAAATCTAAAATGTTTTGATCTCTCTCATTATAGATGGTATAAGGATGTTTTCCATACCCAATTGTTGACTAGAAATGATACTAGAGACGTGCATTGGAAGTCTCAATTTTCAAATGGGCTACCTGCTTTATTCAGAGAAAAAGTTAAAACAAAACTTAAGAATACTAATGGAGGGAAAGAAATCCCTTATGAAAGTTATACTTTAGGATAATTAAATAATGAAATATGTGCTACAGGCCTGGAACTCTGTATTGATCTCAAACTTAAAAGACAGTTAGAAAAACAAAAGATTACTAGAAAAAGAGAAATGCGTGATTTTTGTGAACAATTTGAATACTACCCATTCATTGAAAAAACTCACTCTAAAAAACATAAGAGTGATTCTAATAAAAATTATAAAAAAAAATAGAAAATATTATAGGAGATACAAAAGGAAGGCTTTTAAAGCTAATAAGGAAGATTCTGAACCTAAAAATAGGAAAGTCAAAGGAAAAATACATGTTTGTAAAAAGTGTGGTCGTTATGGACACTATGCAAACAGTTGTAGAACAAAACAGAAAATAAATGAAATAATTGATGAAGGTCTCGAAAAACAATTAGAACAGGTACTTCTCTTAGGAGACTCCTTTGATGAAAACCTATCCGTTCTTGAAACTGATTTAGAAGATGAAATTTATGGAATTAATATTAAAACCTCTTATATCGATAGTGACACTGAAAAAGAATGCAAGTGTGATCATTATAAGGCCTTATTAGATATGTAAGGCCTAAGCCTTAATGTCCTTACTGAGGAACAAAACTTAGTTTTAGATATCATTGACAAGATTATTAACCCACTTGAGAAAAGAGATGCCTTAGTCAAATATCTTGCCAAAGAGAAACTGAAAATCAGGACATTAGACCTAGTTATGATTTCAAACAAATTATTGACAGAGTAAACAAAAAAAAAGCACTTTTTGAAGAGAAACTACTATCTCTCAACTTAGGTTTGAAATACGAAATCTAAAAGAAGAATTACAAACTCTTAATAACATAGTCACTACGCTTAAAAATTCTAGCCTTGAAAGCACACAAGACAAGTCACAATAGACACATGAAAATCTGTTAAATGAATTTTCTGAAAATATACCAGTCCGAGAAGAAAATGTTAATATCTTTGAGAATACTGATCTTAAATAGTTAAACTATGTTAATATGATAAACAAAGTAATAGCCCAAAAATGGCATACTAGGGTGACAATTGTTGTATCAAAAGAATATAGCTTTACTGCTATTGCCCTTATTGACTCAGGAGTTGATCTTAATTGCATAAATGAAGGCCTAGTACCTTCAAGATTCTTCGACAAAACGACCCAAATATTAAGCACTGCTAATGGAAAAAGACTCATGATCAATTATAAACTGTCTGAAGCAGCTATTTGTAATAATGGTGTGTGTTTTTTTAATGCTCTTTATAATTGTAAAAGGTTTAGCTCAAGAAATAATTTTAGGAACACCCTTTTCTAGTCTACTTTATCCTATAAAAGCCTTAGACTCTTCTGGAATAGAGTCAGAAATTCAAGGACATAAAGTTAAGTTTGAATTTATTGAAAACCGAAACTAAAAGAAATTAATCAGGTTATGGTTTTAAAGAAAAACAAAGAATATCTGCTCAATACACTCAAACAAGAAATTGTAACCTGGCAAATAAAAGAGAAAATTAATGAACTCATAACTCAAGAGAAAATTATTCAATTTTAAAATAAGCTTGAAAATGAAGTTTGTACAGATATTCCAAATGCTTTTTGGGAAAGAAAAAAACATATTGCTGAGTTACTTTATGAGCCAAATTTTAATGAAAATGTTTTTCCAAGTAAGTCTCGACCTATTCAAATGAATAGTAGACTTTTAGAAATCTGCAAAAAGGAGATACAAGACCTTCTTGACAAAAAATTAATCAGGACTTCATACTCCCTTTGGAGCTGTCCAGCCTTTTATGTCGAAAAGACTTCAGAAAAAGAAAGAGGAGTACCTAAGCTTGTTATTAACTACAAACCGTTGAACAAAGCTCTTAGATGGATAATGTACCCAATTCCAAATAAAAGGGATTTGCTTATCGAATTTTTGAAGTACAAATATTTTCTAAGTTTGACATGAAATCAGGATTCTAGCAAATTCAAATTTCAGAAAAAGACAAATATAAAACTGCCTTTACCGTACCTTTTGGACATTATAAATGGAATGTAATGCCATTCGGCTTAAAAAATACCTTTTTGAATTCTAGCACATCATGAATGATATTTTTACACCACATACTCAATTCATGATAGTCTATATTGATGATGTATTAGTTTATTCTAATTCTATAGAACAGCACTGGAAACATCTAACAATCTTTTTACAGGCAATGAAAGGCGTTGGACTGGTTCTGTTCGAAAAGAAAATCCAATGATTTCAAACCAAAATTCGATTTTTAGGACATAATATCCACAATCAATCAATTATTCCCATTGATATAGCCATAAGTTTTGCTCAACATTTCCCTAATGAAATCAAAGACAAAACTCAACTTCAACGATTTTGGGATAGCCTCAATTACATTGCAATTTTTACAAAAATCTTGCTAAAGACTGTGATATTCTTTATGATCGTTGGAAAAAGAATTTCCCATAATGGGAGGAAGAACATACCCCAGCAATTCGAAAAATCAAAATAAAAGCAAAAGAATTACCATGCTTAGCAATTCCTCATCCTGAAGCTTTTAAAATAATCGAAACCGACGCCTCTGAAATAGGATTTGGAGGAATTTTAAAACAAAAAATGGCAGAGTAAAAAAGAGAATAATTAGTGAAGTTTATGTCCAAAAAAATGGAAAGATACCCAAAAACATTATTCTACAATAAAATAAAAAATTCTCTCTATTGTTTGTTGTGTTTTAAAATTTGAAAGTGATATATTTAACATAAAATTCTTAATAAGAATATATTGTAAAACAGTTAAAGATGTAATAAAAAAAGATGCCAAAGTTTCAAAACAAATATGCTAGATGGCAAGCTATTCTGGCCACTTTTGATAACCATCCATAATGACTTGGATAGGTTATAATTAAAAAATCTCAATCAATGGATATATTTTAACCTCAAAACAATGAATTTCATAATTACCAACCAAATCAGCGGTTTTTACATTTCTAATTTAGCAATTGCTAGCAAAAGATTTCCCATATAGATTATCAAATAAGGGTTCTCAACATCCAACCACCAATTTTCTACTTATTAGCTTTTCTTTTTCGGACTCCCAGTTTCTCATAAATTCTCCAAAAAAACAGCTTTCTCAATTACCAATCGGGGCCTCAAGGACGTTCTAATTTCCGATTTCTCTTTCATTTTATTTAATTTAAGGACACTCTATTTCCAATCTCAATCCCTCTCTCTCTCTCATATTGAAAGTGGAAAACTTTTGCAATGGTGTGGGGCCCGACTGGCCACCTGTGACATCTATTATGAGTTTGAGATACGTGCAACTTTAAATCACATTTGAAGAAAGAGCTATTAAAAAAAAAAAAGAAATTGAGAGAGAGAGAGAGAGAGAGAGAGAGAGAGAGAGAGAGAGAGAGAGAGGAGGAGGAGATACTCTACTACTAGTAGAAGTACGTACGTACGTACGTAAGTAAGTAACGTAACGTAACGAACTACTACCTACTACTACCACAACTAACAACGT